GAGGAAAGAAGGGTGATAAACACCAAAAGGTCTATGGAAATAATTGATTTTATGAACTAATAGCAGACCACACAACCATCGTTTTCCAAGAACAGAAGAACTAGATGGTGCCCAGCTACCAGTACCAACTGTTCTGAAAAGGATCCCATTAGAACAGTGGTTCTCAACCTCCCTCAAGCCGCAACCCTTTAATCCAGTTCCTCATGTGGTGGTGACCCCCAACCATAAAACTATTTTCGTTACTACTTCACAACTGTCATTTTGCTACTGTTCTGATTTGTCATGTAAATATCTGATGTGCAGAATGTATTTCCATTGTTACAAATTGAACATAATTAAAGGATAGTGATTCATCACAAAACCAATATTAATGATATAGTATGAAATATTTATTTCTAATGACAAATAAATGAAACTTTGTCTTGAGGCATGGTGCAGCATGGGTACTCGTATGTGGATGTATCGGTATGTGGGCGGACCCGCCTGGAGACGGATAGAGGAGCGGTGTCTCGGTTCCTAAGACCACTGGAAATATGTGTTTTCCATTGGTCTTAAGCAACCCCTGTAAAAGGGTCGCTCGACCCCCAAAGGGGTCGAGACTCACAGGTGGAGAACCGCTGCCTTAGAAGGTCCTGGATAGAGTGGGAGAATAATGCAGAACAAACTCAAAATCATGAAAGAAACCAGGCTCGCTGGTCAGAAAGGCCGCTGGGACTCTTGAGACAGTGGTCCTTACTCTTCGGGTCTGGAGCTGAACTTATTCTTGTAGCAGAAGAATCAACCATTTAAGAGCAACAGGGCAGCATTTACCCAAGTCAGAGGGTCCAGGGAGAAGGAGGAAAGATGACAGGAAACACAGGGAGGACGTGGGATAAGTGGTGGCACATTGAGGGATTACAATTGGTGTGTTGACAAAAGGTGGGCATAAATTATTGGATGTAAACTTGAGGATCAAGTCTGTAAACCTTACCTAATTCACACACACACACACACATTTTTTAAAAACATTTTATTAGGGGCTCATACAACTGTTATCGCAATCCATACACACATCAATTGTGTAAAGCGCATTTGTACATTCATTCTCAAAACATTTTCTCTCCACTTAAACCCCCTGACATTAGGTCCTCATTTTTCCCCTCCCTCCCCGCTCCCCCCTCCCTCATGAGCCTTGATAGTTTATAAATTGGTATTTTGTCTACACACACATTTTTAAAGAATACAAATGGCTGGAAAAAATGACAGTCAGAGGTGAGCAGGAGGGACCTCTCAGAGAACACTTCCCCTGGGCCCCCGTCTCCCTGTCAGACTCCCCAAGACTATTTCAGGAAAAAGAACAATGTACAAGTTAATAAACTGTTATGTACAAAAATCATGATCTGCTCCGGAAACGCTGGCCTAATTCACAAGAACGTTAAAATAGAATTTCACAGATGGCTCAGTGCAAGAAATATGAATAATCACAGTGCGCAGTCACCCCCATTAGGGTTTTCCCCTCTGACCCAAATGCAGGGGTCCCCTGACTGTCGCCAGCCCTCTGTTCAAGAAGCCATGTCACTGATCAGAACAGCAACTAGAGCTGCAGTGAGTTTAGCCAGGCTTCTGAGCATAAGAGCAATGTGGGTTTTAGTGGTATTTCAATATAGTATCGGTAAGCAACCAGAAACTGAAATTGAAAACACTCAAACGTCACCGCCATCATGTTGATTCTCATTCACAGTGACTTTAAAGAACAGGGTAGTAGAGCTGCCTCTGTGGGTTTCTCCGACTGTAACTCTTCATGGCAGTGGGAAGCTTCATCTTTCTCTCTCTGAGCAACTGGTGGTTTCAAACTGCTGACCTTGTGGTGAGTGGCACAAAGCGCAACCACTACGCCACCAGGGTTGCCTTTTGAAATTTGAAAAGCAATACCACTCCTACAAGCATCCAAAAGTATAATATACTTAGAGATAAATCTCACAAAAGAACTTTTAAAGGTCTATAGTCTGGAAGCTACAAGACATTGCTGAGATAAACTAAAGACTATCTCAAGACATGGAGACATACACCTAGTCTACGGGATGGGAAAATCAATATTGAACTGAACATTCTCACGGATCGATCTATACATTCAGTACAATTGAAATATAAAATTCCTGCAGGCTTTTTTTTTCTTAACAGAAATTGATAAGCCAAGTACAAAATTTGTAAGACAATTCAATGGACCTAGAATGGCCAAAATAACTCAGACAAAAGGAACATAAAAGTTGGAGCGCCGACGCTGTTATTCTAAATAACTGTCTCAGTCTGTTAGTACTGCTATTACCAGATATATCACAAGGGGGTGGTTTTAAGGAACAGAAAGTTCTTTTCTGCTGATTAGAAGGCTAGAAGTTTAACTTCAGGACACTAGTCCTCAGGGCCGGCTTTCTCTCTGGAGGAAGGTCCTTGGTGATCTCCGTGGGTCATCAGTCTTCTCCGCCTTTGTCCTTGCTTACTTCTGCACCCAAAGTGCTCCTTTTATATCTCACACATGATGGGCTTCAGTGGCATTTAAGAGGACACTGGAATGTCTTCAATGACATAACACACACACAAAATCCCCAAAGGGGCTCTCCTCCACATGTACATCAGCTAGAATCCCAACACATTTGTGGGGAAGGCAGTTCAGTTCATATGGTAACAAGAACAGTACAGCAATGGTGCAAGGATTGGCAAATAGACCAAATGCACGTAACAGGAAGTCCTGAAATAAACCCACGTGTATATGAACAGTTGACATTTTTGTTTTGCAAAGAGTAAAGTCAATGTCGTGAGAAAGGGAAAGCCTTTTCAACAAATGGGACTGGAATATCCGTGTGTTTAAAAATAATAATCAACTTGGATCTATATCTTCCACTATATACAAAAATTACCTCCAAATAGATCACTGACCTCAATATAAAACCTAACATTTTCCAGGAACCCAAGCAGAAAGCAAATTTTGAGAATGATGAGGGCAACAAATGTATAAGTGTGCTTTACACAATAGATGTATGTATGGATTGTGATGAGTTGTATGAGCCCCAATAAAATGATTTTTTTTAAAAACCTAACATTATAAAGCTTCTTGAAGAAAGCATAGATGAAAATCTTTATGACTTTGGGTTAGTCAGAGATTTCTTAGACACAACCTCAACAGTATAAAAAGAACAAATTGATCCATTGGACTTCCTCAAAGGGAAGCCTTTCTGTTTTTCTAAAGACTGTTCAGAAAATGAAAAGGCAAGCCACAGACTGGGAGAAAATCTTAGCCACTACTGTATTTAATAAAAGACTTACATTCCAGAATATACCAAAAACTCTCAAGAGTGGGCAAAAGGTAGGAACCCGCTACCAAAGATTAGTGAATGGCAAATAAGCATGTGAAAAGTGTTCCGATATCATTAGGCAGTCATTAGGGCACTGCAAGTTATATCCACAATGAGATGCCACTAAACACCCATCCCAATGGCTAAAGAGAAAAGACTGACTATATCAAGTGTGGGCAAAAAACCAGAACTCACACACCGATGGCAAGAAGGTAAAGTTCTGCAACCAATTTGGAGAACAGTTGGGTAATGTCTTTAAAAAAAAACAAAACAACTATTGAAAGCCATCCCTACCAAATAATAAATCATTTTACATTTAAGCATCTATTGAACCTATAGTATATGGCCTATAAATGCAAGTTCGCATCACATAGAATGTTGATAGCCATTGTAGTTGTAACAACAAAGAAATGGAAACAGCCAAGATATCCTTTAATAAGTGCCTGTATTAACAAATTGCAGCATATTCATACCATGGAATTTTCCAGTTGTCATAAATTGACCTCACCTCATGGTGACCTCGGGTGTTGAAGTAGAATTGTACTTGATAGATTTCAATGGATGGTTCAGGGTGTGGTTTGGTTTTCAAAAATATCTCCAGACCTTTCTTGCCAGGCACCAGACTAGAACTCTCCAGCTTTCAGTGAGCAGTCTCATTTACATAAAATGCAAACTAACCTGTGGTCCTTACATCAACTGGTGTCAATTTGGGACTTGAGAGGATTAAGAGTGAAGGGGTGGAGTCTAGTCTGTCAGTCGGGTCACAGCCAATGAGGCCTCTGTGGGCATGGCCTTCCCCTGGGGATTCTGGGAAATCTCTGGTATTTTCCTCCTTGGAGACAGGTGACACTTCTCTCTCTCTGCTCACTCCCTGCAAGAGACTCTACTGACAAGGCTGACTCCCTGTGAGATATTCCTGAGGAGAAACCACATGGACCTACCCTGATACAGCCCTGGGTGCT